ATTTTTCTTGACAATTTGATTTGATTACTTCCCGTATTCAATTTTACTATCATCTTGTTCCCGCTTTCCGTTCACAATCACTTTGGAATTACCTTTTACGTAGTCGATCTAACGCAAGTCTCGAGTTACGAACAATATATGGTGTTGCTCCTTTACCCGCAACCGGTCGTTACATAATTATCGTCATTAGGTAGTTTACCTCCCTAACACGCAGTCGATACACTTTTAATTAACGACTAAGAGAATTTGAGGTGACGCCTTATACTACTCCTTCATGCGTTTGTACATACGAATAATATACACACATATATCTACAAAATATATTTATATACAGATATAATATATATATATATATATATTATATCTGTATATAAATATATTTTGTAGATATATGTGTGTATATTATTCGTATGTACAAACGCATGAAGGAGTAGTATAAGGCGTCACCTCAAATTCTCTTAGTCGTTAATTAAAAGTGTATCGACTGCGTGTTAGGGAGGTAAACTACCTAATGACGATAATTATGTAACGACCGGTTGCGGGTAAAGGAGCAACACCATATATTGTTCGTAACTCGAGACTTGCGTTAGATCGACTACGTAAAAGGTAATTCCAAAGTGATTGTGAACGGAAAGCGGGAACAAGATGATAGTAAAATTGAATACGGGAAGTAATCAAATCAAATTGTCAAGAAAAATAAAAAAAGGTTAAGATAAAAATTTATTCTTATTTTTAATATTGTTCGAACAAAGAGACAAAAAAAAGAAGAAAAGTTAGAGAAGAATCAACATTTTTTTTTATATAATAATAAACCAATATGATTAGATTGCAATAAATATAAACGAAATTGATTGATGAAAAATATCGATTAAAAACTTTCTTCTAGGAAGTTTTCATCCTAATTAGAGATATACATATATAAATTTAACTATAATAATTAATAATCAATAGTTATCAATTCATCAATAGTTTTCAAATATCATTCATATCAGTTCATTTTCATCGTAAAAGGATATCCTCTTAAACCTGTCTAACTTATCAGCAAATATCTTTACTTTTTATTTACTAACGCCCACCCACTCCACCTTTCTCGATGAAAGCATATAAATATTTACACAGAAACGTTATTTAATATACGCTTATCTAGCTAGATAAATATCTGGTGTCGTCGTATCACACACATATATATATATATATATATCTATATCCTTACTTTAACGCTTATCAATCACAGTTATCCAGCTTACTTTATTTTAATACTTTGCCATTATTCGTTTTACATTAGACAAACGTGTATCGAGTTGCATTGAAATCGTTTAATCAAACAACAAGACGAGTATGAGAAAGAAAGAAAGAGATAGATGGAAAGAAAGAAAATTAAAAAAAAAAAAAATAATAAGAAGAAGAAGAAAGGCCGGTATATTCATTAACGATAGCAATGCATGCAGATTATATTCTTTTTTCTTTCCTTTTTTTTTTCTTTTTTGCAGAATCCTGTCTGCGGGACAGGCTTTATACATACTATAGCGACTAGGATCGTTATAGGATTCATTCTCACGCTGGCGGATGTTGAAAAGCCATGCATGCGACGGCAAGTGATGGTGGTGGTGGGTCGGCCATCGTACATTCCTCGTCATAGTGCTTGTTCACTCGTATCAGAGAGGTATAAGCGTTCGAATTTCCGCGTTCCGTCGCGAAACTCGACGGTTCTATGGTTTCTCTGTCTTTCTCACTTTTTCACTATCTATCCATCTCTTTCTACCTTTTGAACGAACCGCTTGTAAGGATACGTCCTGTTCGAAAAATCTGTTTGCCTTTTATGTGCAGGGAAAGAAAAAAATAAAAAAAAATTAAATAAAATAAAATGTAAAAAGAATTGATAGTCAAGGAAGACTTACACACGTTTTAATGTATGCCAAAGTAAAATAATTGTAAAACTTTATGGGAAAAATTGGAATCGTTTCGATGACAAAAAATTTGTTATATTAATTTTTAAAACAAACAACACATATATTTTAATATAATTGGTACGACGATACCAGATATTTATCTAGCTAGATAAACGTATATTAAATAACGTTTCTGTGTAATCTATATATATACCGACGTCTAATTTTTTCTTTAGACAAATAATAAATTCAATGTACTTCTTTAAAATTAAAAAAAAAGAAAAAGAAGGGGAGAAGAGAGAGAGAGAGAGAGAGAGAGAGAGAGAGATTTATTTCTGTAGATAGAAAACACACGAGTTACTTATATTCTCGTTCGGTCAGGAGACAGTACTTAATAGCACTGCGACAGCTGCATCGATGAACTCGTTTCATCCTTCCCTTCCCTTCCCTTCCCTTCCCTTCCCTTCCCATCTTTGTCACCATTATAAATAGCAGAAACGGAGATTAGAAAACATAACATCGATCAAACGAACGGACTCGTGACACGTTTACAAGGAAAAGGAAAAACGTTAGAACATCGTATAGTAGTAGAACTCGAGCCTACCGAGTTTGAGATGAGACGTGTTTGTCGAGTTTGCAGTGTAAACTTCAATTTTCCAAGGCATCGTAGTTGTCGTCGTCGTCGTCTCGAAAGGGAATGATGCACAAGGAAGAAGAATCCCTCAGACAGCTGTAGTAACCTTTCGTATTGTTTTTCTCTTCTAACTTTTTTTCCTTATCCTTTTTGCTTCCCTCTTTCTTGTCGTTCGTCGACAAGAGAAAGAAAGAGAACGGAAAAATCCACCCGCCAACAGAGAGACAGACAAACGGAGTTCACGTATTTTCGTAAAATGGCACGAACTACTACCACCACCACCATCACCTATCTACCCATCGACTTCCGCGTTATCCTTGACGCGTCAAACGCATCGTTTAAAATCCGAAAAGAAAAAGGCAAAGGAGGACTGTGTGAAACAAGAAGAAACGCGAGGAACGAGGATGAAGTTTTCTTTGCTAACCGTAAATACGAATTTTTCGCAAACGTCAGAACGAGTTCTGGCTACATACGGTGGTAGTACTTCAATGGAAAAATCCTTTTCCCCATCATCCTACGCCACCCTACCCTTCCCCTCATTCCCCTCAACCATCAATTTTCTTTTAACGCAGCCTCACAAGAAGTGTCTTTTAACGATGAAAATAAAAAAAACAAATATAACAATCATAAGAGAAAATAAAATAAAATAAAATAAAAAAATGTAAAGAGAAGAAGAGAAAAAAATTACGGGAAATGAGAAAAGTTAGTTTTAAAATCGTATTCATTTTCCGAAGGGAATGGAATTTAACGCAAACGAGAAGATGCTCGATGAGAGTTAACGACTTCCTCCCTCCTCATCCTCCTTCTCATACAATGAGACCGACTACTCATTCATTAGCGTCTTTTCACCAGATCGATCACCTCCTGTTAGAAACTCTTCCTTCCGCGTAAGGCTGTCCGGCCCTTTAATTATCGTTCGATCAAAAGGAACGCGGCACGCACCGACGAATGAATTTTCCTAATTACAGCGACACTATCGTTCACCGAAGGAAGAAGGGTTACGAGCATTTTTTCTGCGAAACTAATTATTTTCTTCTTCGTTAGGCCGGTAAATATCTAATAGGATGATAAAATCAAAAATAATCTTAGTCGTGTCGTCGATTTATGAACATACACACACACACACACACATATATATATAAATTTAGATATCATACTTGACTTGTAATCTTGACTCGAAATAATTGTAAGATACTATTTCAACGAGAATCAAGAAAAAAGTGTTAACTTTTTGTAGATAATAATAATAATAATTTATGTGTGTGTGTGTGTGTATACGAAAGAGGATGAGAAGAAAAGTAAGTGCCTCCGTTCTCGGTTACATACACGGATACCATAAATACGTAGGCTGGACAAGACTGGCACGCGATATATATCCCCTGCACGTGTTATTCTCGAGAAAGAGGAGTAAAAAGGAAGTGGGAGTATAGGAAGAAGAGGAGGAGGAGGAGGCTGGTTTTCTTCTCAGCTGGTTTTCGATGGCTTCTCTTCTCTTATGCGTGGGCGAAAAGATGCCGACGCGAATAGCGACAAACGTACGACCCCATGTAAAAAGAAAAGAAAAGAAAATGAATGAAAATAAAATGAAAGGTAAGAAGGAAGGAAGGAAGGAAGAAACGTACGATAAGACAAGATGGAGTCGACGAGCTTGCTAGAACATCGTGTCTACACATTCTGTCTTCGTTTCTTTCTCTCTCTCTCTCTCTCTCTCTCTCTCTCTCTCTCTCTCTCTCTCTCTCTCTCTCTCTCTCATTCGTGTTCTCGTATACGTGTCCTCCTCGTGTTCTCCATTTTCTTCCATAGCTTCTACTCGGCATTGGACAAGACACAAACTCGGATAGGAAATGCGTGTGGGCCTCTTATAGCCACCGGACAACTATCATCATCATCATCATCATCATCATCATCATCATCATCATTATCATTGCCACCACCACCCGGTCTGAAATTCAAATTCAGAATATCCCGGCTGTCTCGAGATATCTATTTTACTTAAATATCTGTCTCGTTAGAAATTGTCAACCGTTGTGAAGAGAATTCATCTCTTTTTCCTATTCTCAATAATTCCTTATAATAATAACAATTGTATAAATACTCGTATTAGTAAAGAGGAAAATAATCGGATAATTGTACGTTTATCTGAATAAAGAAAAATTTGTTTTTTTTAAATGACAAGAATAAACGCGTAATTGGTAATTGATTACGTTATTAAAAAAAAGAAAAAAATGGGAAAAAATGTAAAAAAAAAAGAAAAAGAAAAAGAAAAGACATAAAGACATAAGAACGTTCGATGAGTTATCATTCGTTGTGACTCATGCACGCCACGTATAAACGTGTAATATACGAAAGGACGTAATTCTCGAAGAAGATGAGACGAGACAAGATGGAAGGAAATATACGAGAGTGAGAGAGGGAATATTCTCGTCATATATTTCACGAGAATCGAACGAGATGTAAGCTCGAGGCAAAACACTTACGAGCTTTAGCACGGACCCTCACGGCAGTTTGCGTCTGGAATGGAGGAGAAATCGTGTTAGTCAGAGAGAGTTCGGTTTAATGTAAGGGGATAGGTGATAAGGTGGAAATAGGAAATAGGTATCAACGATGACGATGACCACCCACCCACTCACTCACTCACTCACCCATCCAAACGATTGACGGAGATAGAAATACACAGAAAAGAAGAAAGAGGGAGAGGGATAGAGAGAGAGAAAGAGGAAAGAGGAAATGAGGTATGATCGAAGGTGCGAGTTTGCACGCGAGCAGAAAGCGAATGGAACTCGATGAAAAGCATTCCTCTGGCTTCTCTGATTGGAAGTCAATGTCATCTATTTGAGTTAGAAGTGAGAGAGAGAAAAAGAGAGAGTGATAGAAAGGAAATGGCGACCTACATTCGAAACGAAACGATCTATCGATCGATCAATCTTTTGATTTTTTTTTGTTTCCATGTAATTAATTAAATGATAATTCATTTAAAAGGGAATACTTGTATCTTAATTGTATTGAAAATAAGTGCGAAAAGAGAATAATTGTTCGTTCGATTGCTTCTTCATTGTTTTAATGAATTGCTCTTTCGAAGTAATTTGAAATACTTGTTTATATTTAATTGAATTTATTCTCATGGGTACGTTCTCTAGATTAAAATCGTTTCCAAAGATATTGTAGTTATGTAAAGCCTAAGTCTTGCGAGATGTGAAATTCCGATCGTTCTAATGATTAACTTAAGGAGAAAAAGATTGGTTGGTTGGTTTTTTTTTTTTATAAAAGAAAACGGGAATGTGGAAAAAGGAAAGTGGAAGTAAGAACGTGCGAACCTACTATTGGCCAGCTGCACTGCCAAAGCGAAAGGCAACCAGATGAAGAAAAGCATTCTATGAATTCGCTTTCGTTACCGGTCAATGTTAAATTGATGAAAGAACGAGCAAAACTAGAGATAGAAATATAAGAAAGATAAGAAAGAATTAAAGAGAATAGTATCCTCGTTAAAAGCGAACAGTTAAGTAGTGGGTAACCATAATCGCAACAGGATAAGGATATTACGACAATCAAGTTGAACGCGAAGAAGTTGATGCTTGAAAGACAGCAGCGCACTAACAAGGCTCCTGATATAATACATTGGCGTAGACTATAACTCGAAATTAAATCTGCTTCTTAAATTTTTAATATAATAAACGAGTCAAGTTTTTCTATTTTTTCCACGAAACGAGTCGTTGTGTGATATCCTTTCAAATGAAACATTTTAGATATATTACCACTATCAGTTATAGGGTCATTTATTAATTCATTCATTCGGATCGTTTGTACTTATCTATTTAAAAAGAATTAAAAATATATAACGAGAGGAAATATGAAAAATTGATTAGTAAAAATGTGAAGAAAAATGTGAAAAACGGGATGTCAATGAGAGTTAGTTTCTTGAATTATAAAACACAAATGTATTATTATACTTGCACGGACAAGGCCGTAACTGAACAAGATACCAGTAGTTCTTATTGCATTGACTCGTTAAGATCAATAACTTGTAATCGTAAATACGTTTATACGGTATTAAACATATATAATATATAACGTTGCGCCGATCAAAGTAACGATATTTCTTTCCTTTTTTTTTTCTTTTCTCATTGAACATTATAGTCCTTCGATTTCTTCCTATTTTCTCGTGTATTTTACGTTCCTGTCAAGAATACAACTCTCTTTCTATTTTTATATTTCGTAAGCTTATCCTATATCAACAACGAAAGGTACTTAAGGACGAAGTGTACAAGTTGAAGGAAAAAGTATAGTAGTAGCAAAGAAGCTTGCTATACCAAACAGTTACTAAAACTCTTGCGAATACCATCATAAGTTCTTCAGAATTTTATGACTAGTTCTATTTATGTAGGTACTCGTGTAAGTATTGATACACGTGGTCGGATAAGTTTTATTACTTCCGATTGAATTGAAATAAAAAGAAAACAGAGAATAAACGTTGAAAAATGAAAAGAAATTTATTCAAGGCAAATAAATGATAGACGGGTATTATTAATTTATTCGATGAGATGAAAATCGTTTGAACGTATATATATATATAACGTCGGAGATAAAGCGAGAAAAGAGAAAATAATTTTTTAAATTAGAAATCTTATACCAAGAGATGGTAGATAATATTAAAATAAAGAGAATAGAGAAAAGGGACAGATAAGAGGAAAGGAAAGGAATGGAAAAGAGACAATTTCGAGTGAGGTGAGAAAGAAGAAGAATAGAAGAAGAAGAAGAAGAAGAAGAAGAAAAATAAGAAAAGGTAGGACGACCAGAAAACGGGCAACCTTTATCTAATTAGTTCCTCCTTCGAGTAGCATGAAACCGGAGCAGCAACTCCAAACTCTGAACTCGTAAACGGTTACGTCTCCGAGGTTAAAAGGACGCTTTTTCTTCTATTTCTCTTCCTCTCTTTCTCTTTCTCTCTCTATCTCTCTCTTTATCTCTCATTCTATCTCTTAGAATTTCTGCCGAGGGTGCTTCGGGCTAATTGTCGTCCTCTTGCCTAGGCAAACGATAAATTCTCTGGCGGCTGCACGCCGATTTTACCGGCTCTCGAACGTCCTTAAGAGATGAACAGAGTGAAAGACGAAGAGAAAATGAAAAGAAAAGGAATTTGTATAAGAGAGAGAAAGAGAAAGAGAGAAAGAAAAATAAAAGGTGTTACGAGTGGTATCCTCTCGACGTCTTTCCAACACCTACACACCGGTTTCATTCTGATCCAGCAAATGGACGTTAACTCGACATTCACGGAAACGACTGTCGGTGGAAGAACGATTTCGACTAACAAGCTGCAAAGCTGAAACCTCTTTTCGCGTTAGAACGAATGTCTTCTCTATTTCTCTCTCTCTTTTTCACACACATACACGGTCTTTCTATACGAAGCCAAATGTCGTTCCGTCTTTCTCATCGTTCTTGAAAACTCCATACGTGTGTTTCTTGATGACGCCTTATGCATGCGGTCTAGTCTCATTAAACTACGTTACCTTCATCTCTTGACACTAATATTCGTCACTCGTGTGCGGTGTTGAAACTTTTGCTGTATATATATATGAGAGAGAGAGACAGAGAATGATTTATAGAGGGAAGACAGAGAAGGATAAAAGTTATCGAAACGACGAATCGTAGGAGTGAACGGATATACATACGTATTTGATATTAGGACTAGGCGTCAAAGATATATGTTTCCTCTTATATCATTAGATGATTCTTCATGCGACAACGACCTTAATGTTTTTCAAGTGTCTAATGTCGCACGAGAAGGTTGGCTTTTTAAGAGACCCTATGCCCTCCACACTTCTTTCCCTTCGTTCCTTTTCTTTTTCTACTTCTATCTATGTGCATACTTTAAATTTTACTTTATCATAGAATTCGATAATATACTTGTTAAAAGATACGTGTTTATTTGTTGATTTTAATTGATCGTTCTTATTCATACATATATATATGTATGTATATTACATTTTACAAATGAAATACAAATTGAATAATTATAAATATAATTTAATCTCTCGGCAATAAAAAAATAATTAATAAAACAAAGGGAATACGTTTTATAAATAATTACGAAACAATCGAAATGAAAGAATAATAAGGGTTGATGTGCTCGTCGTTTGATGTTATATTTCGATGGGATAAAAAAATAATTTTAAAAATATTGTATTTTTTTTCTTTTTTCTTCTTTTTTTTTTTTGCCATTTCCTCGTCGATAACATATCTACTGAATGAAACAGTAAAATCTCAAATTTTAATTTGTCGATATTCTCTTCACGCTATTTTTCATCGTAACTATATACATATATATATACTATATATATACTTGGAAACACAGCGATACATTTTCACGACAATTCACACATTTGTAAATAGCGTTATTATTTTGGCAGCTAAATGATAAGCGACAATATTTCGGTTGATATTGTTTCGACAAAATTTAACAAGACTCGTTACAATTGCGTTATCGTTCGAAATGTCACAAAAAAATGAACGCGATAAAAATTTGAAAAAAAAAAGGAAAAAGAAAAAAAACATTTGGAAAATATTTATCGACAATCGGAGGTAATAAAAAATAAAAAAAAAATAAAAAAAAAAACAGAGGACAAAAAAGCAATTAAAATTTAGATTATGGTTCGTTGAATCATTATAAATACGAGCACTCGAAATAAAAACGATGCAGAAATTTATGAGATATCAATGTGTGCGTATTATTTGCATAGAAAATGATTACAAACGCGTTCGTACACAATTCTTTCCCAATTTCTATATAATTGTAAAGCAATACAAAATACATCATAATTATAAAACAAATTGTGTTGTAATTATAAAAATAATTGTCTTGACAACAATCCGTACCTTTAGAAATGAAATTAAAAAGAAAAATTATTGTTCTACTACATTGTGTGTTCTAGGCAAATTAAACGAAATAGTGAAAATGAAACTTAAAAGGATACGAGCATGATGGGGTTTTCGTATCTATATTTAAAAATAATTTTGTTATTAACTCTCGAGTAGAGTCGGAAACGTGCCGCCAAAGAAAAAGGGCGATCGTTGTAGGAACGAAATAACTCGAAAGGAAGAGTAGAAAGAGAATAAGGGGAGAAAGAGAAAGAGGAAGAGAAATAAGAACGAATAGAGGAGGTCGGTGTCATCTGCGTCGCATGACGAATGTTACGACGGCTAAGAAATGGATGAATGCCTCCTCCCATAGATCACGTAGATAATTATATTATTCTTATTTCGTGCTTGTATTTATAGATAAAGATATGATTGGGATATGTATGTGTGAACGCGTAAAATAAAGAGATAAAATAAGGGCCTTGTCATTTCGATCAATCAACCTTTCTCATTCTCATTTAATCTTTCCTTACTATCTTGAATTTGAATATAATACTCGAAGTATAACGAGAATAGATTGGATCAATTTTTTTTCGTCAAATCGTTCAGCGCATTTCATTCGTCATTAATTTTATATTTTTGTAAGTATACATAGTGCC